ACCCAACTGGCTGCCCTGGTTGTAGACATCGTGGAGTATAAAGAGGCTGCCTGGGTCGGTTCTTTTGGCAGGCTTCACATAGGTTACATCCGCATTGATGCTCAGATTGGCCCTTTCAAAAAGTTCCACAAATGTATTCATATTTCCATCCTCATCGTAGATTAGCCAATGATAGCGATGCGTGTAAAGCTGCGCACGACTTGACTGTAAGGAATAGAAAATGTATATGTATAATTATATGTATAGCTACGGTAGTCCAACTATTTACCTCATTAGTTATAAAGGGACTCTGCTCACAGCCAAGATCCAAAAATACGCCAATTTTTGTTAACTCACTGTCCAAATATACTTTGGAAAAGTTAGCTAAGGACTCGTTGGATTGACTGAGACTTATAAATTGCGAAAAGATTAAGTTTCGCGAAAAAAGTTGTGCCAGTGGTAAGAGAACTGAAAAATATAAAAGTAACATAACAAGTTTTATAGGCTTTCTATAAAGAAGAAGCAACGCTCCTTTCTTGATTTCCCCTGGCTTTCCTTGGAATATTTTCATACAAATTATTTACCTGGCAGCTGCCAGCAATGAAATATGACCACATTTCTTAGCTTTATTTGCAACAAATTGTACACAATTAAATTATAAATTTCCAGATTTGCCATATTGCACTGAACTGTCGAACAGAGCGGAGTAAACAGTTGCTTTTATAGCTAGCCCCAAAAAAAGTGCCTCAGTCAATTACACAATTAAGTTATTATTCCAAAATTTAGGCTGTCATCGAAATTGGCATTTAGAGTGACAGCGGCTGCCTGTCCAAATTGTCCAAATTTTGTGGCACCCCCAACAGGTGCAAGCAAGGTGCATTTGGCGCGCGTCACAACAAATCGCACGTGGGCAGGCCGCAGCACGCACTGCGCCTGCGCAGAAGCTCGAAACGTAAACAGACGCAAAGCCAGTCACATTTATGAATGAAGCCACCCACACAACGCCTGCTACTCCCGGCGCTGCAGTGTTAATGGATTTTGTGCCATGATTTAGCTCGCTGTGGCAGGGCGTCACTGATTTTGCGCCTTTTGCATGTCCGTGAATGTGTTGCGTGCGTGTGTGTGTGTGTGTGTGCTTGTGTGTGTGCGCTCTGTGTGTATGTGTGTGTGCGTGCTTGTGCTTTATGCTGTCGGCATATCCTCTGCTCATGTTCCCAGCTGCACAATTGAATCTTGGCCAACGGTTGGGTTTTAATGTCGTTTCAGTTGGCGTTGCGCGCTTGGCGCGTCTCGACGTAGTCCTCTGACCAATTTTCCTGCTAAGCGGGCAGCGCATTAAGGACTCGTTTTCCATTTCGATTCCGTTATCTGTTTGCTTGTTTGTTGTGATTCTTATTGCTGTTGACTGTAGACGTTGCTGCCTTCTGGTTTGGCCGGCGGCGGCGCAAAAAAATTGTTTTGCACTCTGAGGAGATTAGAGGCTGATTGCGTATTGACAGCGGCGACTGATTGAGAAATTAATTGAAAAATTGCAGAAAATAGTTTGTTTTGCATTGTTAAAACGATATCAAGTGTTGGAAGTTAATTAAACAAAATATTTTAATTTAAGCAATCGTTTAAAAATGGTTTGCATGACGTTTGTGTTGTGTTTGTCAATGCTATTTTAAAACATGTGCAGCAAATTTCTATTGGAAACTCTTTAAATCTATCCAACATAATTCAAATGTAAAACATTAAATACTATACAAATAAATAATATACAAACTGGCGTATGCGTAATATTTGAGATGTTTATTACTCAGTAAGAATCAAACCATTTAATAGAATATAAATATAAAATGTGCAGTGTTTATATTTAAATACAAAAAATTTTTAAAATGTTATGCAAATTAAATGTTATATAAATGCGGACCAAAAAAAGTATAATAATATTAAAGTACAACCTGGCGTATACTTAATATTTGAGATTTTCATCAGTGAGAATAAAATATATAGAAAATATATATGTATATAGTGTTTATATTGAACTACATAATCTTTATGAAATGTTATAGAACTTTTAAATAATACAGATGCATGCTCTAAAATGTAAATTAAAATATTAACACATAACCTGGCGTATGCGTAACATTTAAGCCGTTTATTCCTCAACTGTATAAAATGTATTTCAATAAAGTGCTGTGCAACATTTATATTAATCAGATTGATTAATAATATTGACGTACAGCTTGGCGTATACGTAATATTTGAGCTGTTTATTACTTAGTACGTTAAACTGTATTATGTGTGCATATGTTTATATTTAAATAAAATGTTGTGCAATTTAATATATTGTAAAAATTATATAAATGCTGACCCTCTAATTGATAGCAACAACAGTGTACAACTGGGCGTATGCGCAATATTTAAAGATGTATAGTTAAGTATATAAAATAATACACAAATCGAACAATAAATATAAAAGCGTTTTAAACGCGTTTCCCTTAATTATCTCATTAGCTATATCAACATTTACTAAAACGCAATTAAACTGTCGACTAATACTAATTTAAAAGTGAAGACAGGCGACCCAATAAACTGACAACTGCCCAATTAAAATTATGTACAACTACAGAAAATCCCCCAAAATATATTAAAAATCAATTGCATATGCGGTCGACCCGCACAATTACCAAATGCTAAATGCATAAACCATAAATATGACATGAGCAAAGTGAACAGCAACAGAAAAAAAAAACGTATTAAGTGCAAACAAAACGATATTATCACAAATTGAACAGCACATTAGAGAATTAAAAATCTGATAAAAACGTAACCAGTAAATGCATTCAAAATATGCAGAATAGAAATCGCTGCAACTAATAAAACCACCAGCGATTTTGGTCAACCAAGCAAAGCATTAACAAAACTATTAACTCTCCCAAAAGGGATTTGGGGGTAAATGCAATTTAGTGTCTGCCTTCTGTTATTTACGAGTGTGATCATATGGGCTTAAGCTGCAATTTCGTAATAGACAAATTTACATTTTTCAAATTTCCATAAGCAAACCCAAATAAGTATAAGAAGCTTCACGGCTTTGAACAACTAAAGTCTCTTGAATATTCGAAAATAAACTTACAAGAAATATATCCATAGAACAAACACTCTCTTTAAATTGACTAGCGCAAACATTTCGCTTAAATCTGACAATGTCAGCGCTTTGTATTTTTTTTTTACCCTCTTTTACAAGTTCTTAGTTTTCTTCTCCTTTTTTGGTAAGATTTTTTGCCTCGCGTTATAAAACATCTCTCGAATAGGCAAATGCAAAGCAGATTCAAGTAGAAAAACTAAAAAAAAAATATAAATAAAAAAGCTGGGCATCGCACTCTTGAGATTTACATTGTAAAGTGATGCGTTTAGTTTTTTACCCTATCCCCCAACAAAAAAGAAATTCTGTATGTGTATGCGCGTATGGTACGCGGCATGATACAACGGCCTAACAAAAACTGCATTTAAATTAATTGAATTTGTCAGAGTTTTTTTTTTGTTGTTGTTGTTGTTGTTGTCCCTTAGTTTGAGCCGAGAGCTGGCCGGGGCCAGCTCAACGATATGGTCTATTGCTTTTATTGAATTGGTTTGGGGATTTGTTAGTTGACCCACAAGTCAAGTTGAGCTCCCCCTAACATCAAGTTTGCTTGAGGGTCGCATCTCAATCTCCTATGCAATTTGTGTGTCATTATGTGTTTGGCCACAGCAATGCATCTGTTTGTATCTGCTTTTATTTTTTTTTCCGGCTCTTCTTGGGGAACTGCATTTGCGTTCATTAAATTTGCAAGCAAGTTGAAATGTTTTTGTTTACCTTTGGAATGCGTTGGGGTTTTTGTTTGCAGCAAATTGAATGCTGGAAAATAATATATGAAGCTTTCATAAGGGATATATGCCAAAGAGTTGGAATTGGAGACGATGCTGAATATGTTAAAGAGCGGGCTTGGCAATTAGTCAGCTAGTAAGATGAGCTTAACAAAATATAATAGAAACTTAGCATAATTAAATAAGATAATATTAGTTAATGGAATACTGACTGAGTCCTAGACATCTTAAGAATGTACTTATGCTGCAATCTTAAGAAAAGAGAAGAATAAAACTTACAACACATTTCACGGCATAATCATGTTTCAATATCAATTGATAGCACAGCTGTGCTTCAACTATTCCTTCTTTGCATGTTGCCCAAGTGTCTACTGTACAGGGTAATGCACTTAGCTAAGCCAAATGCAAACAACCAGAAGTTCAACCGCTTTCAATGTTCCCCCAACTGGTGAACGTGTTTGTAAAACGTGAGCCAGACATCCTGGCCATGCTCTGAGCAGCACGTGCTGCAGTTCTACTGAAAAATAATTACAACAATTGCATTATTTAATGCCTGAACTACATGCGACCCGACCGACCGCAGAATGAGTCGAAAAAGCTGTGGCACAAATGTTGACTTGCATTTAATTAAATTTCGCTTTTTAAAGCTAACTAGAAAACTTGTGGCTGTCCGCCTCTGACAATACAATTTCGCACGCCGCCTAAAAAAGGCGAAGCTCCATATAATATATATGAGCTTATACTTATATAAGTTATGCACTTGCAGATTGAATGCACAACTCGTTTGTAAGTGCTGACGCAAAGAGCAACTAAATAATGCCAGGCTTAGGCTCAGATTCTGTTCCGCGTCCATAGAAACCACCTGCTGCACCCACACAGCCAGGCGAGCCCGTAAGAAAACATAATACATATAAGTTTATATGCACCAGATGCTTAGAAATGTGGTTAGCAAAAATATGCAGGCATCAGGACGCAGCTTAAATGCTCTATAAAGAAACGCTGCAACTTGAGTAGTAAATATAAATTTACATGAGTTTTGGTAGAGAACTTGCTCTATAAAGGCCAAGAAATAATCGTCATAATTCATAATGCATAACTCACAAGATATCTTAATCAAAGCCCAGCGTTACATAAAAAAATAATAAAGGTATTCTGAAATTTTCTCACTTTTAAAGTTCCTAATTAAATTCTATTAAATATTTTTTGTTGATTGTTAAGCTTTATAGTTAGAAATTGTTTTCACTATTTGAAACTCAATTTATAACCTGCAAGGACACATACGGAGGGCAACAATGCAGATGGTAGGGCCGAAAAGAAGGCGACATATTCTATAGAGCCTGGGCACAGTAGCACTGGCAGAAAGAATGGAACATGGAAAGAACGGAAGCAGTCAGCGATGAGGAGGGCAGCCTTCAAAAATTGAGTGCAATTTAGACGACGTTGATGAGAAAATGCGTTGAACGTGCTCAAGTTGTGCTCTACGCCTGTGGCCGGGTCCGCATTTAACCCGTTCGCCAGTTTAACAAAGGCACAAAGCGTTGGGAAAGGCGTCGCGACAACCAAAGCAAGAAATTAGAAATAAAAGCTAATGCCTTTACTGGCTGGATGCTTGCTTGGATGGATGGCTGTTCTCTGTTTGTTTGACGAAAGAAGGACCGAAAAAAAAGAAGAAATTATTATTAAAAAGGAAGTGTGTGGCTCAGATTACGACTCACAAATAATGATCATCTGGTTAATTTATGACGAAAGCCAATATTATGGCACAGACCTGAGTAGGGTACTCAAACGTCAAGTAGTTAATGTATTCAAATGAAAAGGATCATTTTTCATACAAAGTGGGAATAAGGACATATTTTGTACAACATTTAAGCACATCATTATGGTTTATCCAAAAATACATTTATGTCAGAACCAATTGAGAATTACAAACAAATTTTCGATTTAAAGTGAGACTACAAACCATTAATAAACTCTGTAAATTAATTTAGACAAAAGAATAACTAGCATATGATATTTTCAAAAATTTTCCACAACCGACACACGCTTGGTAAACGAAGCGAACATAATGCACATTTCCTGACGAGCTTAAGAATTTCAGACTCAGACTAAGCTTCAGACACATGACTAATTAGCAAACACAGCGCCTAATCAAGTGGCAAGTAACATTGACGAGCACGAGACCTCGATGCTGAGATGAGATGCACTGGCTCTGAGATGCTATCAGATGCCCGACTTGAAGGCAAGGCAAGACAAGGCGAAATGCAAGTGGCCACAGAATGGATGTGCCGTACGGAAGCCCACTTATTATTCAAAATAGTTAACACCACCTGATGCCACCGCAAACACGCACACTCACCAAATTAGGTTAGTGGGTGAGACGTATAATCAACTTATGGGTCGCATTGTATTTTGCATAATTAGATAGATGGTGTCCGCCTTGACGCCTTCGAGCAACTGACCAAGCATGAGGACCTATTTAAGGACAGCTCTCCTTATGCAATGACAGCCCGACTGCCCTCCAGCTGCCAGTTCGTCTTGCTTGATGGCAGTTGATTTTTCATTAACGGCTTGTGGTCCGGCTGGTTGGGTTGCTTGGCTGGCTGTGCGCGGTTTCATTCGATTTAATAACTCGCCATCAATAAGGTTAAGGTACGGGCTTCCTGTAGCCAAGATGAATATATTAATATTATTAAAAAAAATATATATGTGTGCACTCAACATGAGCTTTATGAACATTAATCTCATGCAAATCCCAGCTGTGCAGCTTACAAATTTATATTACGCATCCGCCATGTTGTGTTTGTAAATGTGTGTGTGTGTGTAAAAATCACTTGTAGATTAATCAAAAGTTTTTGAATATACATTTTTTTTTAAATAAGCAAATTAATTTGAAGCTCGAGCAAAAGAAAACGCAAAGATTTTAATAAATTGAAAAACTAGTTCAACTGCCAAGAGCTTACTATTTTTTTAGCATAAATCTCAGTGCTCCTGGCTAATTGGCCCAATCAAACTGCTGGCAGTTAATCAAACTGCCAAGAGCAGGCGACAGTCGCCAGTCGCCAATTCAAACAATTAAAATCATAAAACTCATCGCAAAAGCCGCCAAAGCGAACTGAAATACACAAAGACAATTGTCAAGATACAGGACAAGATAAACGGAACTAATGCGACCCAAGGAACTGGATGAGTTTGTGAAATTAAGAAAAACGCTCGGAATGCAGCCAGTGTCGAGTGCAACATCCGGTGCATAAATGAAAATAAATACCAAGCCGGCTGGCAAACAAACCAGAAAACGAGAACTGTCAGCAGCAGTAGCAGAAACCGGAGAGGCAACTGGAACAGGACCTGAAGCCGTAGTAGCTGGTCACTAGCCAGCGACTGGCCAACGGCCGGTTAAAGCGACAAATGTTAGCCAAACGGATGTGTAGATTAGGCCAGAACAGTTGTCCATCAGACGTCTAAACAATAGACTCAAACAAAAACAAAGAGAACACCAACACCAACAGCAGCAACAATAACAAATCTGTGCAATATGTGCGCAAGCAGAGCAACAACAACTCAAACAAAAACAACATCCGGCAATGCGTCGGCTGACCTCATCGACGGCGACTACTCTGGCAGCAGCAGGAGCAGCAGTTGTCCGTCCTGGCTGGCGCAAGGACAACGTTTAAACTTGCGCATATTTAAACTTTTGATTAGCTGCTGCCTTCTAATGTGCTGCATTTATACAAATGCCTGGCAATTGTCCATTGGCCAACTTGGGGTCATGGCCGGCAGCATCAAAGGGCGCGGCGAAACGCATCGACTGAACGAGATTGGAGCCGGCTCGTTGACGCGCTCCTGGCTAACGCAGAGCAATAATCATGCCAACATCTCCGAATTGTTGGACAATTTGCTGCGTGGCTATGATAATAGCATTCGACCGGATTTCGGTGGTAAGTTTGCCAACAAATAAAACTCAAATAAATGGCTTAAGCATGCAAAGTAATATAAGTATAAAAAGTTATCTTAGTCCAACTATCTGAATGTATAGATATTAATTAATAGATGATTAAATACATACCTTAAAGGTTCTGCTTTGCGGCTTCAACTTTTTATACATGTTTCACTCTTGCCGGAATATCCACCCTCCTTGGTGGAAATGGTGTTCCAAGGCTTGGAGGGTTCCTATAGATATCCAAGAATCTATCCAAATGCGTTTCTTTTTGCAGAATTCAAGCTTCATCTGTAAAAAATTCGATTCACTTAGATTAACGAAATTCCACCCACAACTGTGGAAAATTGGCGGAAACTATTACTACTTAACTCATTTGCAAATATGTTTAAGAAAATTCATTTGAGGCGTATTTCACAACTTTTACAAAATTCAAAAACTAATTTCTCAATATCTATGTATATAAAAGATGACTGGTTGGGAATTTGATGTCTTATTTTTCAAGCAAAGATCTCGGATTAAGTAAGGCCAGCAAATAGCAGCTGATGAAAATATAAATATATATATATGTCTGATTAGCAAATAGATTCTTGGATAGCAGAAAAAATAGACATGTGACTCTCCTATAAAGGTTTTCAAACGTACAGACACAGTCTATCCCAGCCAAAATATATAATATATATATAAATAATAAAAGCAAAAAAATAAATACATAAATTGTCTGCAAATAAATAAGAGAAAGGGGTAATTGGAACACTTGAGTGTTCATATTTAGGGTGCCATTTGTATCCGGTTCTGTGGTTCGAGTTTTGTTTATACCTTTTTGGCTGTTTACCCTTTGCCAGTTTCCTGTAATCAGCATGCGAGTACATGAGCAGATTCGCTCCTTCAGCGGAAGCGTTTAATGAAGCGGAAATCGCTGCCAGGAGACATACACACAGCTCCAAGGCGACAATAATGATGATGATCACATTGACGATGATGATGATGTGACAGCTCCCTTGGCAAATAGTTAGTGTCACAATCGACAACAAACAACCAACAAAAAAAAACAGAAAAAATTATTTACATACAATTTCATTGCAATTTCCCCCACCCCCTTTATTTGCGTGCTTGTTTGTTGCGCAAGGATTCTCCAAGAGCTACGGGCCCTGCCCCGCAAATTGATAAGCTTTTTCAATTTTCCAAATGGTCTGCACCATAAAAATTTAAATATTTTCGAAATTTAAGAGCCTTGCGGCTGGCACTCAATGAAGCTTAACGGGCATCCCCCCTGCCCACTTCTATGCCGGCTACAACAAAAGTTTGCGTTTACGCAACTTAAGCCCAAATTACATTGTTTTAAACACTTCATTAAGAATGGGCTCGGCCGCTAAGTGCTCCACGGTTCAATGCGATGAGCGTGCAGGATATAAGGATACGTGGCAGGATGCACGATGCATAACGCGTGTTTGCCAAGCTCAACGCCAAAGTCATTAAAAACTGTTCGCATAGGCAAAAATAAAAAACCAATGAAAACAAAAATGCATATTAGCGCAAAATACATGAACAGGCAAAGGCTCATAGATGATGCGAGTACACTGCGCTGAGCCTATGGAATGGGACTGTCTGCCAAGCGGCTTAAGTGTCATTGTTCATAGAGGCAACATTTAAATTCCGTTTCATGTGAAGGACTTCCATGAATTATTCATGTGCGGGAATTATGTTGAAAAATCCTTGCTGGAACAGTTTTCTGCGAATACTTTTATAAAAAACTACAAAATACGTTTCTAAAATTTGAATAAAAATGTTATATATAAAATATTAAAATAATTATCAAAATTACAGACAAAACTTTACGGAGATTTTATAAAATTTTATATTCTAAGCATTTCGCACAAACCTCATCTTACTAAACAACTAAACTTAGATTCCTTTAAAGTAATCATAGGCAATGGTTGAAAAATATTTAAAAAAAACTCTTGGAATCCTTAAAATCTCGTCTCCATAACATCTTTATACCTAATCAGCATAAGGTCGTATAATAGAGTACTATAATTTTTAATCTTTGTTAAGATTAATTAAGCTCCGACAACTTTGTACTCTTTTCTTTCTCTCTCTAAAGGTCCACCAGCCACCATTGAGGTGGACATAATGGTGCGTAGTATGGGTCCAATATCAGAAGTGGATATGGTAAGCTGTACAAAACTTACAACTCTTTTATATTTTCATATATATAGCCCACTAAAAGTCAGGCAGGAGACGTTGAGCACATCTTTTGGACACCTTTTGAGTGGTCGTCGCCTCCTGCCGCGCCCATCAAGCACGCCCTCAATATGCCTTCATTTACCATGTCTTTTGCAGACCTACTCGATGGACTGTTACTTTCGGCAATCCTGGGTGGATAAACGGCTCGCCTTCGAGGGTGCCCAGGACACGCTGGCGCTGTCAGTGTCAATGCTGGCGCGCATTTGGAAGCCGGATACGTATTTTTACAATGGCAAACAGAGCTATTTACACACGATAACCACCCCGAATAAGTTTGTGCGCATCCATCAGAATGGGCGTATTCTGTACTCCAGCCGGCTGACAATTAAAGCAGGCTGTCCCATGAATCTCGCGGATTTTCCCATGGACATACAGAAATGCCCGCTGAAATTTGGCTCATGTAAGTGCAAATATATAAAGGAAAAAAAAAAAACCCTAAACATTGGATGTTTGCAAGACCCATTGGATTGGCTGGGCTGGGCCGAGGGGCGAGTGGGCATGGCTGTGCGCTGGCATAATTATGCATAATTGGCGCTTATAGCGCTTTGATGCGCCTTCTGTCAGCCTCATGAATGGCATGTCCGTGGCGACCACTTGTTGGAAGGACAATGCAGCATATGCTTTTAAGTCTGTGATTCTGTGTGTATGGGTGTGTGTGTGTGTGTGTGTGTCTATGGAAGGACTCTAGCTTACACTCATAAGCTGAATGCCATGGCATTGAATGTGATTATGAATGTAAAAAGAATTGTCAAGTGAATATGTGGGGTTTTGGCTGGGCTTAGGATTTTAATGGCATAAGCCATTGGTTATTATTGCTATTAATATCGATTATATAATGATATAACATGCTAGCTACAAGAATTTCATGTACAAATAGCTCATATCTATACTCTATCTCTACTCTATACTCTGCGAATATCTATACTCTATTTTGGTATTTGAATTAGATTTCGTCTGCTGCTATTACAATACTTTATTACTTTAAACGGAGACTTTATGTACTTTTTGTGTGCACTATCTTCTGTCTGTTTTGGTTAATACTCCTCTGAATAGATGCAGCTGACATTTCAATTATTGCTGCCAAGCAAAAAACCTTTCCTGACGTTGATGTATTTTCATCACACAACTTTTTGTTACACATGCAAAATTGAAAAGCTCCAACAAAACAACAAAAGCTGCTGTTACTTAACTCGAGCATATAGTTAAGCGATAGTATATTTATTTTTTTTTTGGCAACAATTTATGAGCCCAGTTAGCTTGAATGCCTTATCGCTAACCTAAATTAACAGACGACACCTGAACGGGCCCCGTGCCACAGTTGGTATTATTGCTTCCGATTTGCTGTGAATAATGTTGCATGCAGTCAAGAATTCAATTACCCCGCAACACTCTCCGCACAGCTCGTCGCTGTTATTGCCTGCCACTTAATGTTGACAATTTCCCATTTGATGCGACATCGACTCACCGAAAATATTGCCAAAGTCAGCGGAATAGCGCATAGTATCCGAAAATATACAAAAAAAAAAAAATGGAATAAGGTAAACCAATCCGCATCCACACATGTCGCAATGTTTGGCAATTTGTGCAGCAAGGCGACAACAACAACAACAATTACAATAACAAATAATATATCTGGCACGTGTGTTGATAGCAAACCGTTTGCAGTTAGAGTAGAGGTCTCGACTGAATCGATGGCGATGAGGAAAAGATGATGTGATTGACTCTGATTGACCCAGTCACGGTGTATAGGTGTTAGACGTTAATTGAACGGTTCTTTACATTTTTAATATTTAATTTAATATTTAAGGAAAATTTTTAAGGAAATTAAAGTGACAATGTGGGTGTAGCTGTGACTGGCTCCTGAGTTGAGGAAAATTCGAAAGAACAAAACTTTTGAAATAATAATAATTAAGAATGTTAAATAATATTACTAATAGTAATAATAATGATAATAATAATCACAATAATAATTGTTATTATTAATAATATTTTTATAATATACAATCTGAAATTATTTTGCTAAAGATAGAAAAATATCTTGTGCTAGATTTAGATATTTCTTCTATATTTCATGTGTGGGTAATATTTTTTGGCTTTTGGGAAAAGTATTTCTTCAATAAGTTATGAAAATCCACAGAATCGTATATTAAAACTTATATTTCAATCATATCCAAGCAAATATGTATTTGGGTAAGGCAAAATAGTGCGAGCACAGTTGGCCAATTAAATTGTTGCATCACTGATGCAATCCCTTTTAATTGCCAATAGTCTGGAATAACAAATGTCTCACGTTGAATTTGCACCCACTAATTTTGTTGCTGCCATTGGACAGTTGGCTACACCACGTCGGATGTCATTTATCGGTGGAACAAAGAGCGACCGGCAGTTGCCATTGCTGAGGACATGAAATTGTCACAATTCGATTTGGTCGATTGTCCGGCGGGTAATATAACGGACATTGTTTACAAGGCAGCCGCACCGATGCCCCAGCACTACAACAACAAGGACACGTTCCCATCCAAGCAGCCGCCCAATCCCAATAGCAAGAACTACAACAACAACAACAACAACAAAGTGATGTCAACTTTTGCGGGCCCGGGTGCCAAAAATCAACATGTCCGCGGCACTGGCCTAAAACTAGACAAAGGCGCCTTCGGCTCGGGACGCGGCGTTGCCGGTGGCGGTGGTCTTGTCACGAATCTGGCGGGCAGCATCAGCTTGGAAACGCATCATCCATGTAAGTTGTCAGCTTAGTGTTGCGACTTGCAGCTGTTAATCTTGGCCTTCTCTCTCTCTCTCATAGCGGAATACTCGATGCTGATGGTAAATTTTCATCTGCAGCGGCACATGGGCAACTTTCTGATTCAGGTCTATGGGCCTTGCTGTCTGCTGGTGGTGCTCAGCTGGGTCTCGTTTTGGCTGAATCGTGAGGCGACTGCAGATCGCGTTTCTCTGGGCATTACCACGGTGCTGACCATGACATTTTTGGGCTTGGAAGCACGCACAGATTTGCCCAAGGTGTCGTATCCCACAGCGTTGGACTTCTTTGTGTTCCTCTCATTTGGCTTCATCTTTGCGACCATTCTACAATTCGCAGTTGTCCATTACTTTACCAAATATGGTTCCGGGGAGTGTTACTTTATTATTGAGGAGCTGGAGTCGGATTCGGCCGAATCTGAAACGGATGCAGATGCCAGCGGCCAGTCGGACTTTCGCGGCAGCAGTGAATCCAAGATCTATGAGGTTATACCGTTGTCCATGTGCGCCATCAACATGCCAGCATCCGGCAGCAGTCGCCTGGGCATGCTTCACTCCAGACGCACCACGCGTAATCGACGCCACGGACTGACGGGCTTCAGCTTCTGGCGCTGCTTGGACTGGTTCAGCTGCCGGCGACGACGGCGTCAGCCACGCAAGGCTACCTGCTCCGATGAGGATGAGGAGTACGATGAACAGACGCAACTGCGTTTCGATGAGGCGCCCTGCACATCAGCAGCTGCAGCGGCAGCGGCGGCGGCAACAGCTGCACAAAGCCCACCGCCCACCGTGGGACGCAGGCGCATGTCCTTCTATAGGCGCGAGGAGCTGGAGGCGCGCCGCAAGGGCAAACGTACACCGCAATACAATTCGGTATCGAAAATAGATCGTGCCTCAAGAATTGTATTCCCGTTGCTGTTCTTTCTGATCAATGTGTTCTACTGGTACGGCTACCTGTCCAGGAGCTCGCGCATTTTGGCCAATACGCCAACGAGCACCTGATGTTACCTTTTAGCAATTTAGACACAGTCCCTAAAGAAGTCCAGCGTTCCACAAGGAAGAGCAGCGGCCCTGGGAGAGTGTTAAGCTATTCGATCAAGGTGTATTACGGCTTCAGTTATTTGCTCTTAACCTGATTTGCTAACCGCTATGAACGCTTACTGAGATTTCTTTACGCGCTAAATTGCTAAACATAAAATGCTAGATTTACATATCACAGGACTACAACTTGTACATATATACATGGGCATATAGCACTATATATATATATGTCATATGTATGTGTATCTGATACATCAATATTATTTGTACAGTTAGCCAATAAGTTGCCAATTTACTTGAGCTTTTAAACGCTTTGTTCAAATACAATATAAATGCTGATTCTAATAAGTTCTTGTTAAACGCATATTTATAACAAACCATTAAATTGTTCGGTTCGCCCAAAGAGCTTGTCGAGATAAAAATGTGCTGGCTAGTAAAAAAAAAAAAATACAAACCTATCAGCAAAAATATAATACGAGAAACTGTTGGTTACTAGTAGAAAATAAAACTCAAAGTAAAAGCTATTGCACACTATTAAAGCATAACAATTATAAAAATTAAAAGCTAATGGCATAAATTTAATGAGCATTTCAACTTGCCAGCACATTGAGTAAATATATATATATATATATGTGTGTATGTATTTGTAATTGAATGGAACTAATAATATTATGTACATACCAATCTGAAGTGCGTTTCAGTTACAATCCCGCCCAGACAAAGATAATAGCATATGACATATGGCAAACACTTGCCGCAGATAAGATATCTGATAAGCTAATATCTTTCTGCATTGTTCATATCATTGGCTCACTTTATTGATCCATCAAAATGCTCAAATATATGGCAATAGATTGGCCAGTTTGGGCAGAAAAACATCTGGCCGTGGCAGCTGGGGATTCGCATGCAATGTATCCAATTGATAGCTGCCTGTGCCCACCAACAGCGATTGCAGATTGCAGTTTCTGGCAAAGGTGACATCGATTTTGCAGCTGCAAAGCAAAACAAATGACATTGATTGGCGCAATCCTTGCTTAAACGGGCAACTGCTTACCAATCGCCAATCATGAGCGTGCGTTCGGGCTGCAAGGCGGCCGCATTTAGCAGCGGCTGTAGCACCAAGGGATTGGGTTTGCCCATTTCCAAAGCCTCGCGTTCCGCACAAGCCTCAATGGCGGCAACAAAGGCGCCAGTGCCGGGTATATGATATGACGGATACTTGTGCACCGCATCCTTGTTGGTGACGAGAAAGGCGCAGTCCTTGTTGCTGCACAGTATGTGACAGGCGCGCGCAATTTTACAATAGCTGAAATGCTCGTCCCAGCCAACAATTACGGCGCCCACATTGGCAACAGCTGCGGGCTGGCTTAATTCGCGCTGCACAAACTGCTGCCACTTGACGTCTGGCTGCAGCTGCTCTGGTTCGCCTGCGCCAAAACTTTCAATGCCCGCGTCATTTAGTTCCCGGGCAATCGCCGCATTTCCAACCACATAAGCCCGCTTTGTAATGTCGGTTGTCTGCTTCAGATAATCGACAATGGTTTGCGTCGGCGAGATGATGTGCGTCTCATTGGGTAGCTGAAAGCCTAGACGCTGGGCGCGCTGCCAAATTTCGTGGCGTGTCTTTAGGCCATTATTTGTAATTAAATAAACGCGTTTGCCGGCACGAGTCTGCAAGGCATTCAGCACATCAGCGGCACCTTCAATAGCCGTGTCATCGTGCCACAATGTCGCTGTTGGTAATTCACATTAATAATAATTATTTCAAGCAATTTTTAAACCAGCGCGCCTCATCACAATTAACCCAATTGATATCGATAAAAGAAACTTTAAAGTCGATATCATTAAACGACATGATATCGATTAAAGAAAGTATATTAAAGCCTGGTGGCAGCTCTGCAACAAGTGGGAGCTCTCTTCTCCTTCCCTCACTCTTTCTCTCGCTCGCACACAGATGCCAAACTCACCGTCGCAGTCGCTGATAACTGTGTCGAAGCTTTGCAACCAGCTGTTCACCTGCTCGGGCTGGAGATCCAGCAAATTGATAGCGCTTGCCTTAAACATTCTGTAAACGCGGTCTGATTGTTACTGTTGGCCGTGTTCAATTATGTTTGTGCCTGAACTGAGCGTCAACTGAGCGACTCATCGTGATGTTTTAGAATGCATGCTATCCCGCTCACACAATTGACTGCGCTGCGCTACAAACGAATTTGATGGATGGCTATTTCGATAAGCAGGCACACTTTACAAATAAATTGTAGTTTTATTGTAAATTGTACTATAAATTTATGTAATGTATTGTTAAAAATAAATTCCCTTCTATTGTTAATTTTAATAGCGTCCCTGAGCGGAATCCATTAGCTGTATAAATATGAAAAACAAATACAAATTAATAACTTCCATGTGTCATGGTGTTCACAATGGCGGGCAGCAGGTCACCCAATTTCGGCAGGTACACATCCGGTATCAACTTCTTGTCCTCCGGGTTTGTGCTACGCTTCCACCGCTGCACATCGCACAAGTGATGAATGCCCGTGCCCACCAGCAGTGTCTGAAATCCACAATTATATCCCAGTAGAATGTCCGTATTGGCACGATCGCCAATCATAAGAGTCCGCGCCGGATTGATCTTCTTGTGCTTAATCAGCGACTCGCATATGGCCGGATTTGGTTTCCCAATAACGAAGGGTTCTCGCTCCGCACACGTTTTAATGGCATTCACAAAACTGCCACTTCCGGGCACAACAAAAGAAGGCATAGGAAAACGTTCATCTGTATTGGTTGCAATGAACAAACAGTTTGGATCGCTCAGGTAGGATGCAGCTTTTGTCATTTTGGGAAAACTGAAATGCTCATCAAATCCGACCACAACGGCGCCAATATTCGAATCTAGCTTTAAATGCTTCGCCATAAACTCGCCCAGATTACCTTGCATAACATCTGGCCCAACACGTGTATGCCGTATGCCAACTGCGTCCAATTCCTGGGCAATACCTTCCGAACCAATAATATAGACGCACTTGTTAAAGTTGCGATGCTTCAGGTACTCGGCTGTTGCATGAGCTGTCGATATAATGCCTTCCTCAGTAATTTGAAAGCCCAGCTCCACACCTTTGGCCAGCAGCTCTGCACGCGTTTTTGTCGAATTATTTGTGCAGAAATAAATGCTCTTTCCCATTTTCTTCAACTGGTTCATGGTATCCACGGATCCGCCAATTGCATTTCCATATACCCACAGTACGCCTATATACATATATATAATATTATATAATATTCATTATAATATCTCAAAAATTGCTTCGACTGTTATTATTATTTATTAAAAAATAACCCAAAATGTCATAGAATACGCCATCAACTTTAAAACATCAATAATCGTATTTTCGTCAATTGTAGCAGCTTTCAAGTGTCAAGATCGCCGCACCCAACTGACATTGTAATTTGACATTGAAATTTGCGCGGCGACACACACACACACACACACATACACAACCATAAATAAATACATATGCATGTAAGTTTTGACAGACGACTTAAAGGGAAAAAGTGACGTGACCGCAATTTACATTGTCGCCGCATCCTTCATTGATAAATTCACACACTCACCATCACAATCGGATATAACGGCATCGAAACTGTTTAGCCAGGCAGTGACCTCTACAGGTGTAAGATTCAGCAAGTTGGTGCACGTTTGTTTATACATTCTGTTAGGTTTCGATGTATCTGTTGCAGAGGCGTTTGGACCGGAACCCTTAAATGCCCGTTTACTACTGCAGGTTATCTATTTATTACAAATATTCATTCACTGATAATTTATTTATGTACATATATCTACTGGGGGATGCGTTTTAGATAGTCTGGTAGCACCGTTACTTATCAGCTGTTAGCATGGTGAGACAGCTGTTGAAAAACTACTGCACTTTTTGGGATTTTTATGTACATTTCAACGACAGCTGTTAGCTGAAAGCTGCCAACTGTTGGTCGCCCGCGTGCTTAAACGCGCTTAAAAGAAAAACATTGAGTAACACTTTCATGCCGTTTATTATTGTATTTGGCGCTTACATATACAATTAATTACTTATAGTACAGGTTTTTGTTTTGTTGAATCTCAGCTTACTTTCTTCATTTTTTTTTTTTACAAACATGCTGGAAGAACAAACAATTGCAAATAAAGAAAAATACTGTAGCTACACCAAATTGTAAGCAAAATTAATTTGGACCATCGAAAGGAATAACTGCAAGCAAGTAAAATATGGTATATATATGTATATATGTGTACAGTAGTGGGTCTTGGGATGGAGGGGTAATTACTGGAATCTAGAGCGAAAATTTTGCATTTTGTACCATAATTTGCATTAAATAAATCTCATTAAGCTAGCAATGTAAAACGAACGAAAAGTTTGCTAATTACAATATAAAACTATTTTACAATAATCATAATTATTATCTTAATAAATTAAGAACTAGACACGAAACGTTATCGAGAAATTGCATTTAGTGTGCATTAGTGACACATTTGTTTTGTTTTTCTTTTTTTGTGTGTGGGCTATAGACGTGTGTGTGCATGCGTATGTGTGTGTGTGTGTGGTTTGTGAGAGGTAATGAGCCAAGTCTATTAACTAATGGATTTCACCTAAAACTGTGACATTAATAAGCTACCTGGGCCGCCACTGGCATTACCAGCGCCGCCTCCAGCGCCGCCGCCACTGTTGCCCAAAACAGAGCCCAATAACGCCCCACTGGGCATCTGTTGCTGCTGATGCTGCATGGGGAGCTGTTGTTGCATTTGCAGCGACGTGGGAAAACTGTTTAGGCCCATGCCCGCATTCATGCCAACGCCAACGCCCACGCCCACGCCACCTGTTGCCATTGGATTGGACATGCCAGCGGTGGCACCCATCACTGGTCCGCCCATGCCAGCGGCGACAGCACCGCCGCCACTGGGCAGACCGATGCCCAGTGCCGCGCCTGGCTCGGGGCTTTGATTCTTCTTTTTGCGTTTTTTCTCCTTTTTGCGTTTCTTGCGTTCCTTGTCATCCTCGTGGCGCTTTTGTTTTTTGTGCTTCTTCTCGTACGTCTCCAGGCCAGCAGAATCTACATAGTGAAGTGATAAGCGACGCATACATGATGTGTATCAATTCACAGGTAACTTACCCAGCAATGTTGACTCCGGGCCCCCCGTGGTAATTCCGTCTTTGTGCTTGTGCTTTTTGTGCTTGTTTTTGTGTTTGCGCGCAGGTGTTGCATATGTGGTGCGGTACTGTTCCGGCAGCTGAGACCCAAAGCAATCGAAATAATTAACATGAGAGTATATGAATTATTGTAGCCAATGCTTACCGGTCCTGGATGCAATCGGAAGCCGGCTAACTGCACTGCAGTCAATGGAAGTAGCTCCTTGCCACCAATTGGTGGCTTTTCGATGACGCTGCGCAGCGTGCTATTTTCGACGGGATGCGTGATGAGGTCATTGATGCCGGGTATGTTGGGCAGAAAGGATGCCAGGGATTCCTTAAATTTCTTCTCCTTAAATTTGGTCAGCGTGTGATGCAGTCCATATTCGGTCATGAGATCCTTGTCGCCCGTTAACTCAGCTTTCGCCGGTGGCTCCTTCATCGAGTAGAACGGACCCGTGTGTATTATCGTTGGCGTCTTACCCAAAGATATCGTCGTTTTCAGCGTTCCCGACGAGTCCTGTCGCGCCACCACAGGCGAGCGGCCGCCGTGCGGTGAGGATCTGGGTGAGTCCATCATTATGTTGCCGTAGTTGTTCATCATTTTAGGGCTAAACGGCAGAGCCACAGACCGAGGAGCTAGGACACAGTCAGTCACTTAGGCACACACACACACTCACAACAACAACAACAACAACAAAGTAGAAGCAGCAGCAGCAGCAGCAACAACAAGGCCAGACAGCGTAGCAACTTTCGCAACTTGCTATCGGATGCTGCCGCATACACAAAAAGCGAGCAATATACGCTCAACTTGTTATTGCGGCCGCTTGATACTTTTATGTATATTTAATCAATTATTTTTCACGTTTTATTGCGATTTTTTCTATTCAATTTGCAGACGAGACTCTCGCCATCTTGTTGTGTTCGCGTACAAGTGTGACCAGCTAGCGAATAACTGAATATATACCATGAACATGATATTAATAAATACCAGAGGCGCTTTAATGAATAAACGCAATCCCGATATATAATGTCGTCGAAATCCAGCCACTATCGATATATTGGCCAGTCATCATCCGCAGTTTGTCGTGTTCTAGCGCAGTATCGTGTATTTTCAGTGGAACATTGAAAATAACGTCACATTAGTGTTTTTGATTTATAGGGCAACATAATCTACCAATTGACCAGCAATGCAGTCGACATTACGCAGAACTCTGACAGCTGTAGCCAAGGTACAAACACACAAACGGCTTTTATATGAAACGTACTCTCTCGAGGGGGGTTATGCAATTCTAACCTAAATAGGTCATAACTTTGGCATTAAATGCATTAGTCGATCGTTGTGACGTCAAAAACAGTGCGTACTCCAGTGTCAAGGTCGTTTATTAGGCCAATTATCAGCTGACACAGTTGATATAAACCCAAATTATAATCAAAATATGTGTGTTAAGTGCCATCGATTAGCGTAAACACAACAAACAGTACAAAAAAAAAAAATAAAACCAAGTGTGACCATCTACATTACAGTTTAATCCCTTCTTTCCCTTTTAGACACCGCTGCGCACCAATGCCGCTATTCTGGGTGCATTAAATTCCCGATGCTACTCCAGCACACATGAGGCGGATATTGTAGTGATTGGTTCTGGGCCCGGAGGCTATGTGGCTGCCATTAAAGCTGCCCAGATGGGCATGAAGGCTGTCAGCGTAGAGAAGGAGGCTACTCTGGGCGGCACCTGTCTGAATGTGGGCTGCATTCCCTCAAAAGCTTTGTTAAACAATTCACACTACTATCACATGGCCCATTCAGGCGATTTGGCCAATCGCGGCATTAACTGCGGCACTGTCTCACTCGATCTGGAGAAGCTCATGGCCCAGAAGACGAATGCAGTAAAAGCGCTCACCGGCGGCATTGCCATGCTTTTTAAGAAAAATAAAGTCACACAGCTGACAGGTTTCGGCAGCATTGTCAATCCCAATGAGGTGAAGGTGACGAAGAACGACGGCACCACTGAGACCGTTAAGACCAAGAATATACTGATTGCCACCGGCTCTGAGGTTACTCCATTCCCAGGAATCACTGTAAGCGCATGAAAACCGGCAATTGTCTTGTCCAGTGTGGACTCTAAGAACATTCGCACTTTGCAGATTGATGAGGAGGTAATTGTGAGCAGCACTGGCGCCCTGAAGCTAGCCCAAGTGCCCAAGCATATGGTCGTGATTGGTGCTGGAGTTATTGGCTTGGAGCTCGGCTCAGTGTGGTCGCGTCTGGGCGCTGAGGTTACTGCCATTGAATTCATGGACACCATTGGCGGCGTTGGCATTGACAATGAGGTTTCCAAGACCTTCCAGAAGGTGCTCACCAAGCAGGGGCTCAAGTTCAAGCTGGGCACCAAAGTGATGGGCGCCACGCGCAGCGGCAACAGCGTTACTGTCTCTGTGGAGGATGCCAAATCTGGTGCCAAGGAAGAGATTCAGTGCGACACCCTGTTGGTGAGCGTGGGACGTCGCCCCTACACAGAAGGTCTTGGTCTGGAGGCTGTAGGCATTGTTAAGGACGATCGCGGTCGTATTCCCGTCAATGCCACCTTCCAGACGGTGGTGCCGAACATTTACGCCATTGGCGATTGTATTCATGGACCAATGTTGGCGCACAAGGCCGAGGATGAGGGTTTGATTACCATTGAGGGCATCCAAGGCGGACACGTGCACATTGACTACAATTGCGTGCCCAGCGTGGTCTATACACACCCTGAGGTCGCGTGGGTTGGCAAATCAGAGGAGGCACTTAAACAGGAGGGTGTTGCCTACAAAGTCGGCAAGTTCCCCTTCCTGGCGAACTCTCGTGCCAAGACGAACAACGAAACCGATGGCTTCGTCAAAGTGCTGGCTGATAAGGCAACGGACCGCGTGCTGGGCACGCACATTATTGGCCCTGTCGCCGGCGAGCTTATCAATGAGGCCGTTCTGGCCATGGAGTATGGAGCTTCGTCGGAGGATATTGCTCGTGTCTGTCATGCGCATCCGGTAAGCTTGAAGGATGATTATCAATGCCAAAACAATTCGATTGTAATTTTTCTTTCTGTTCTTTACTGCAGACCTGTGCTGAAGCTTTACGTGAGGCCAACGTGGCGGCCGCATTTGGAAAGCCTATAAATTTCTAGATCCAATACCATTGCACCTTTCTTGCTGCCCATGGGCTAACGGAATTCGCTATATTAAACTCTCCACTTGTTTGAAATTCTCAATGTGCAACTCTAACGAAACATCTCCGATCAATATATAGAATACAAAACAATGCTATGTAGTTGACGATTTGCTTAATAAGTTTAGAATAAAATTGCGTTTTAAATGATGTGCGCGCCTATTGCCAACAACTATCGTTATTCGTATTTTATTATCGATATTTGTTGAAATATCGTAAGCACAGCAGCTCGATATATCGAAATACTAAAAAGAAATTTGTAAATACATAGTCAGTATGGTCACTCCTATCATATGCTCAGTTTTAAACAAGTGTTGTCAAAATTTAGCAGCAGAGTCGAGGTGTTATTTTGTTTTATCCAGCGTCAATTAGTTTTCCATTTTTTGTATTACAAACAAATCCGACTAGATAAAAGTACAAAATTAAGAACACTTGCAATGTTTCGCGTTGGTAAATTTAATGTAAATCGTGCCAACCGTCTAACGCGTAT